AATTGATGTTTCCCGTACCAATCTGGCCAAGCCGCGGGTGCCACAGGCGAGCCACTACCTATAGTGGCCACTCCTTCCCAGGTAGCGCGCTCAGTGGCCACAACGCCCGAGCCTAGGAACACGATTAGTTCCTATCTCCATGAAGGGCCTCTCGCTTTTAACGGTCGTAATCGACCGAGGAGAGGAAAACAACGGACCCAGTGCGATCGCACCGTGTCCGCCAGCCTACCTATCGCTGGGGTCGAGCGCCCACCTGCCGAAGTCTGCCGTCCCCGACACGTGCCTTACGAAGGCGTCAGGAACAAATGTCTTTTCGATATTAATAGATTAATACATTTTTTTAGAGAGTATGAAGCTTGATCGATCGATAGAAGAAAAATTATACAATCCCGTTTAAGGAATGTTGATGACCTCCATATTCCCAGTACGTGCCCATCTGCGAAATAGCTCTGAATACCAAAATGTGTCTCATTCGAAACCACTTAACATCATATATAAACAGTCTTTACTACAAAACGACGAAAATAGAGGTGGTAATATCTGGTGAACTGCTCTGTAATTTGTAAGTTATTCTGATGAATTTAAGACCTGAAATTGATATATCACCATATCTTGCATTGCTCTTACCAGGATTATTAATAAAACAAAATGAAAAATGTGAAAAATATGGAGGACAAATGAAGAAGGAGCAAAAGATAGAAAAATTGAAAAGAATAATTTTACTTTTAATATCGTATTCGTCATTTACTAGCCTCCCGTCATTGTTTAATCACAATTAATTTCTTCGTCAGAAATTATAAAGATACGATATCTCATTTAAAAAGGCTTCATCGACATTCTTAACTCGACATATTCCCACTTGTCGGATTTCTTTGTGTAACCTGGTGCTTCTGACGAAAGTCACCAGACCAGACATCAAACATTTCTAAACGGTTGTTTGTACGTCAATGGAATCGATAGAAACGCGAGCCTAGGCGCTTTGAGTTTAATCTGGGTCAACGGTGGAGAAGAGATTAAGTGCCCTTGATTCACAATCCGGTGGAACTCTGCACCGCCCGGTGCTAATTTATTCAGGGTTAAGCTTTATGTACGACATTTATCGTATTATCCTGATAATCAAACGGATTTTTGAAAAAAAGACTTGTCCTTTCCGCTTTTTATCCAGAAACGAAGCAAAAACCACAGTGAAGGATAACGCGATCGATCCAGCGTTTCGTGCTCGCAATCAGTGTTCGAATAAAAAGTGGAACGAATTCTGATTAGAACTTCGATTTAATTCACGATCCACGAATACGTTCAGTATAGTGAAACGTCTTAATTTCTGTTAGGCATTTCTAGTAATTATTTTTTTCTTTTTTAAGTATGTATGCTGGTATGCTGAAATATATGGCTTGCGAAGTATGTAGAAATTATTTCGGTTTCATTTATCTATGTACTAAAATGAAGAACATTATATTTTTCTTTTAATAAATTAATTATAACATGTTCATTTATCACGTGGCGACATCGTAACTCATAATATAAAGCTAGATTATATAAATCTTATACGTAAAAACAGTTTCTGTTTTTTAAGTGATTTTTAATGAAGATTGTCTTGGAGAATACGTTTATGATGGGACAAATTGCTCTCTATTATTGTAAGTTTCATGGTAGAAGCGGATGTCAGTTTACCGATAAATTCGTGGACAGCTTAAAAGCACTAGGCAACAATATAAATGTGCGGGGTAAGAAGCGCAGGAATTAAAATAATTGCCGCGCGCACTTGCCGGGTTTGCAAGCGAGGGGAGAAACTAATATCAAGGAAAGGAACGCCGCGACTGAGGCTGCCGCACCATCGAGCAAAAAGCACGGGCCTCCATCAACGAAGATGGGCTTACGTGTAAACGTTTTTCTCTGGCGCGCTGAGTGCAGGAAAATATCGAGTGTCAATATTTTACTGGCACAATGGATCGTCACCTGTCTGTAGCAAACTGCAGCCTGGATGCATCGGAAGTACACTTGCCCGCCACCCAGCCACTCCACGTTGTCGTTTAACAAAGTATCTTACCGCTGGTCTGACCCATCTGTACACCGATATTCATCTCGGCTGCCTCTCACAGTAACAATAGCCAAGATAAAATAGCTGATTATTCTTTGATTCCGTTGAAGGATGTTTGCGAAGAATATTATATTTGATAGACTTTATTTTTGGTACATTTTTAACTTCAACGTACAGCGTAGCTTATTCTTTTCATAAATATGAAATTTTATTTCTCATGTAAATTGAAACACAATAGAAAAAGACGTTGAACATTGTTAGAATGTATTTCATATTCACCGCGTACTGTTCTTAGCGTCACCTAGTGACATATATATTATAGAGTGTAGATCACGACTCTGCTGAATGCTCTTGGTTACTTCCGGTGACATGTGCTGAACGAGTGTATAACATAAAATAAAGTATCTTTCTAAATCTTGAAACATCCAGTGTTTAGTATTCATTTTTATCATCGCTCGTTTACGTATAAGCAAGTCCACTACTCTGCAAACTTTAATTTTTAACAAACATATTTAACACGTCTATGTTTCAAGACATTCTGCGACTAACGGTACATTTTTGAAGGCCGCTTTCCTTTATTATAATCCACGTCAAATATTTTTTGGGACACATTTTTACATGAAAATTGTAGTATATGTAGGAGAGAGAAGTGAAGGGTGGAATTCACGATCGTAACTCATGAAATCGTGTTTTATGAGATTTTTTTGCTGCCACCTAGGGAAAGATTAGATCGTCGGGATTATTCTGAATCCATTCCGCTATCTATGGGATACTAAAAGAATGTAAAATTGCAGAGAAAGGAAGCGCTTTCACATTTTTAGATAATACTTTCCACGAAAGGAGCAATATTATTTTTATTAGGTGAAATAAAAATTTTCTCTCCTAAGTAATTCATCATAACACATTGAAATAATCATTGTCTTAATAAAGACTTAATCGTACACGTGACGAACATGCGACAGTAATTTATATTTACTGCGAGTGGAAGTAATAATCTCCAGGAATGTGAATTCAATCGTAGGAATCCTTTCAAGTTGCTTACCTCTTGGAACCGGGTTGATCCCATAATCAATTTCAATAATCCCTAGACAATAGAGGAAATACTTTCAAACAGGCAAATCGAGTCAATTTCGTGTAAACTACACTTCATTTTCATCCATTCTAAAAATACTATAATTATATTTACAATTTGCATATTCCTAATACGATAAGTGATTAATACAAATACAAATTCGCGTCATATATTCAGTTCAGAATTATCATCATCCAATACTAGCAATATAAAATACAAATACACTGCACAAAAAATAAAAGGGAAGCCTTGCAATTAAATTTACCGCTCGCAGCGAAGAATAAACAGAAAAAGAGGAACAAGCGAGTCGATATACGTGGTATCTTAAGCCGGGGCTATATCCCGGTTAATCCGCGGATTGAAAACACAGTCGCTGGTCTCAGGCTCGATGTTTGCTCGCGAAAAACCGGTAGATATATAACCGTGTTCGGCTCATTCATATGTATGACGTAACCCAGTTTCGATTGCGTCCGGGACTCTCGAGAGGAGACTCGAAATTCGCGGACGGTCAGTTTCTAACCGCGGCGAGGGTTGCTCGCGAAATTTTAATGATGCCGCGTACGATCGGTCGACACGGTGCTTGCCAACTCTGTGGATAATTGACTCGAGTAATTACGCGTCTACACGAGCATTTCAAACTTTTTCTATCCTCCCTTGACGCTTAAGGCGGGTTACACGGCTCACTTTACTCGATATGACTTCTTCAACAACATTCAATGAGATTCGAAATGAAGTGAACAGTGAATTAATTTTTGATTAACCCTTTGAATACTTTATTTTATTGTTTGTTGAGCTAAATCGAGTATAAAATTAAATCATTGTTTTTAACGATATTTTGTAATTATTACAATGTGTAAATATGATTTTATACATACGTTTATTATCGTTAAATAATGGTTCATAATTAAAATGCATCCGAGAATGAGGTCAAGAGGAAGCATCTGATCAGATACATTTCAAACTACAAGTGATACTTCCTGATACTTATGTTCTGCACGGGCATCCAATTTAAAAACGATCACCGTATCGGATAAACAAATTTCTTGGGAATTTGATAAGCCAGAAGCTTGTTCCGATCGTGTAAAATTTCTACGATTTCGGGGCCAGAATTCATCGAATGTTCAACTAACGACGCAACCAAGTTTATTCCCGTAAAGTACA